TCTGCTCTCCCCGGACCCTGCATTCACTATATCTGCTCTCCCTGGACCCTGCATTCACTATATCTGCTCTACCTGGACCCTGCATTCACTATATCCGCTCTCCCCGGACCCTGCATTCACTATATCTGCTCTCCCCAGACCCCGCATTCACTATATCCGGTCTCCCCGGACCCCGCATTCACTATATCCATTCTCCCCGGACCCTGCATTCACTATAACCACTCTCCCCGGACCCTGCATTCACTATATCCGGTCTCCCAGGACCCTGCATTCACTATATCCGCTCTCCCCAGACTCTGCATTCACTATATCCGCTCTCCCGGACCTTGCATTCACTATATCTGCTCTCCCCGGACCCCGCATTCACTATATCCGCTCTCCCCGGACCCTGCATTCACTATATCCGGTCTCCCAGGACCCTGCATTCACTATATCCGGTCTCCCAGGACCCTGCATTCACTATATCCGCTCTCCCCGGGACCCCGCATTCACTATATCTGGTCTCCCCGGACCCTGCATTCACTATATTCGGTCTCCCCGGACCCTGCATTCACTATATTCGGTCTCCCACAGTACACACAGCATGGAAATGCATTATTATTTTAGTAAATATAAATTGCTAAATACCTTTTCTCATCAGCAGTAAATAGCAGTCTTGTAACTTCTATCAGTGTCCAGCCGAGCACTGGTTAATCTTGTAGGAGGAGTTTTCTTTCTGCTCTAGGAGGATGCAGAACTCCTGACCTCTGTCTGGACAGTGCTGATTGACCCTGTGCTGATCACATGCACTCTCTCGTGAATAAAAAAAAAAATTCCTCTAGCAGTACACACCAAACTGAGCATGTGCAGAGCAACTCCACACAATATGTCTTATCAGGAGATAAGAGGGAGGCATTGAAAGAAGGGTGGAACAGAGAAGCCATGACCAATCAGCATTTTAACACAATGTGGAGGATTAACCCCTTAGGTTCCACAGTGAGTATAACAAGCATGCTTTACTGCATCTACAGACTGATTGTACTGCTGCGGGTTTATAATAACACTTTAATAAAGTATACGAAAGTCTAGTCACTAAAATCTCATATACACTTTAATATGTTAATGTGTACAGAGGTGCAACTTACAGATACAGTCATGGCCGAAATTGTTGGCACCCTTGATATTTCTCCAGGAAATCATGTATTTCTCACGAAACGTATTGCATTAACACATGTTTTGCTATACACATGTTTATTCCCTTTGTGTGTATTGGGACAAAACAAAAAAAAAAGGGAGGAAAGAAAGCAAATTCGACATAATGTCACACAAACCTCCAAAAATGGGCTGGACAAAAGTATTGGCACCCTTTCACAACTGGGGATAAATAAGAATGTTTACAAGCATGTGATGCTCCTGTAAACTCACCTGGGGCAAGTAACAGGTGTGGGCATCTATAGAAATCACACCTGAAAGCAGATAAAAAGGAGAGACGTTCACTTAACCTTTGCATTGTGTGTCTGTCTGTGCCACACTAAGCATGGACAACAGAAAGAGGAGACGAGAAACTGTCTGAGGACCTGAGAACCAAAATTGTGGCAAAATATCAACAATCTCAAGGTTACAAGTCCATCTCCAGAGAACTAGATTTGCCTTTGTCCACAGTGCGCAACATTATCAAGAAGTTTGCAACCCATGGCACTGTAGCTAATCTCCCTGGTCGTGGACGGATGAGGAAAATTGATGAAAGATTGCAACGCAGAATAGTCCGGATGGTGGATAAGCAGCCCCAAACATGTTCCAAAGACATTCAAGCTGTCCTGCAGGCTCAGGAGCATCAGTGTCAGCGCGAACTATCCGTCGACATTTTAAATGAAATGAAACGCTATGGCAGGAGACCCAGGAGGACCCCACTGCTGACACAGAGACATAAAAAAGCAAGACTACAGTTTTGCCAAAATGTACTTGAGTAAGCCAAAAGCCTTCTGGGAAAACGTCTTGTGGACAGATGAGACCAAGATAGAGCTTTTTCGGTAAAGCACATCATTCTACTGTTTACCGAAAACGGAATGAGGCCTACAAAGAACAAAACACAGTACCTACGGTAAAATATGGTGGAGGTTCAATGATGTTTTGGGGTTCTTTTGCTGCCTCTGGCACTGGGTGCCTTGACTGTGTGCAAGGCATCATGAAATCTGAGGATTACCAAAGGATTTTTGGGTCGCACTGTAGGGCCCAGTGTCAGAAAGCTGGGTTTGCGTCCAAGATCCTGGGTCTTCCAGCAGGACAATGACCCCAAAACATACGTCAAAAAGCACTCAGAAATGGATGGCAAAGAAGCGCTGGAGAGTTCTGAAGTGGCCAGCAATGAGCCCAGATCTAAATCCCATTGAACACCTGTGGAGAGATCTTAAAATTGCTGTTGGGAAAAGGTCTGTCCTTCCAATAAGAGAGACCTGGAGCTGTTTGCAAAGGAAGAGTGGTCCAAAAATTCCGGTGAGAGGTGTCAGAAGCTTATTGATGGTTATAGGAAGCGACTGATTTCAGTTATCTTTCTTTTCCAAAGGGTGTGCAACCAAATATTAAGTTAAGGGTGCCAATACTTTTGTCTCAGCCCATTTTTGGGGTTTTGTGTGACATTATCCATATTTGCTTTTCTGCCTCTGTTTTTATATTTGTTCCAATACATACAAAGGGAATTAAACATGTGTATAGCAAAACATATGTTAATGCAATACCTTTTTTTGTGTGAAATACTTGATTTTCAGGAAAAATATCAAGGGTGCCAACAATTTCCGGCCATGACTGTATTTAAAATACTACAATTTTGGCCGTATTTAATATATATATATATATCTATATATATATATATATATCTTATACACTGCATGTTGCATTTCAACTAATAATAATATATTATATATACTGTTAGTAGCATCCATAATATGATGTCAGAATGACAGTATAGAGCTAGTAACTATAAAAAAATAACAATAATAGTGAATCTAAATATACCTCAATTGCATAATTAAAGCATTATAATATCAACTTTAGAAGACAAAATTATAAGATTAAAAAAGAATTGGAGTGGTAATGATAATAGCAATATCGTTGTTGTTGTTGTTGTTTATTATTCTTATTATTAATTAATAATAATAATAATTAAAATAATTATCTATCTATCTATCCCTCCCATATCTATCTATCTATCTATCTATCTATCTATCTATCTATCTATCTATCTATCCCTCCCATATCTATCTATCTATCTATCTATCTATCTATCTATCTATCTATCTATCCCTCCCATATCTATCTATCTATCCCTCCCATATCTATCTATCTATCTATCTATCTATCTATCTATCTATCTATCTATCTATCTATCCCTCCCATATCTATCTATCTATCTATCTATCTATCTATCTATCTATCTATCTATCTATCCCTCCCATATCTATCTATCTATCTATCTATCTATCTATCCTCCCATATCTATCTATCTATCCCTCCCATATCTATCTATCTATCTATCTATCTATCTATCTATCTATCTATCTATCTATCCTATCTATCTATCCCTCCCATATCTATCTATCTATCCCTCCCATATCTATCTATCTATCTATCTATCTATCTATCTATCTATCTATCTATCTATCTATCTATCTATCTATCCCTCCATATCTATCTATCTATCTATCTCTATCTATCTATCTATCTATCTATCTATCTCTCCCATATCTATCTATCTATCTATTCTATCTATCTATCTATCTATCTATCTATCTATCTATCTATCTATCTCTGACTGACAACTCATGGGCCCCTGGGCAATAGGGGATCATGGGGCCCCTTTGTCCTTGCCCAAACTCAAAAAAGCCCATGAAAAAGGTACCAGGGGCATCTCATGGGGCCCCCTACTGACCCCGGGCCCTCGGCAGTGCCCCGAGTTTCCAAATGGTCAGTCTGCCCCTGATCTATCTATCTATCTATCTATCTATCTATCTATCTATCTATCTATCCTGCATGTTGAAATGCTTTTTGTGTATATTACAAAGTATATGTAAAATATTTTTAATGTATAAAAAAGTAATTTTTAACATATATTTTTACATATATTTGTAAATGCATTCCAAAAATGTAGATTAAATGTATTTTTAAAGACATACAGTATATTTGAAAATGTATTTTTAAAAATATTTCTCATATATTTTGTAATAAAAGTGCATTTTTAAAACTGTATTGTTACTGTATTGTCTCCCACCATATTGTAAAAAGCTGAGCAAACCGTTGGCGCTGTATAAATCCTGTATAATAATAATAATGCAGTATATATACATTTATATACAGTGTATATATATATATATATATACACACTGCATGTTGAAATGTGTTTTGTATATATTACAAAATATATGAAATTTAAATATATTCTTCAGATTTTTTTTAACATATAAAAAAGTAATTTTTACATATATTTTACACATATTTGTAAATGCGTTCAAAAATGTAGATTAAATGTATTTTTAAAGACATATATTTGAAAATGTATTTTTAAAAATATTTTTCGTATATTTTGTAATAAAAGCCCATTTCCACATACAGTATATATATAGTGAGTCACACACATAGTGTTGACATTATGGCCCCTGACTTTTTTTATTGCACCCCCAGATCCGATAGGCTAGATCCGGCCCTGTACGGGATTAATCAGGAAACAAGCTGATCAGATGAGCCTTTATCTGTCCTCTTCTCCATCCCGTGTAATGGTATCAGCAGCGAGGGTCATTGTAACACGAAGATCTAACACTAGGATGTTTTTCTTTTAGGGAGTAGAGAGGACAACAAAATAATCCCACAGCTTCCACCAGAACAGCTGAGGATTAGAGAGGGGCTCTGGGGACCCCCACAGATCCAGGCATAAGAGAAGACACAGCCAATACTAGCCCAATAAGAAGAGGCGTGCAACTACAGAACAGGGGACAAATAGAGCTGCATCAAAGGCCGCTTCTGGAGTGGCTATGGATCCTTCCTCCGGCACGAAGAAGAAGGGACAGAAGATCGGCCAAATTAAGGAGGCGGCACCAACAGCAGCTGCACACAGGTAACGCAAAGTTGCTGAACAGGGTTGAAGTTGGTGTGAATACGTCTTTAGATTATCACACTGTCCTAAAATTTTCAAGAAAGTGCCATATGCATTGGATTGCATTGAGACAACTTGGATAGTAGCCTCCAATGCATCACTCCCAGGGGCGTATTTACCATAAGGCAAACAAGGCACTTGCCCAGGGCAGCATTTTTCAGGAGGGCAGCACCTCCCCCCCAGAAGAAAGGATGAAAAAGGGATACGTATTCCATGGGAACCAGATGGGATCCGAGAGAGGCTGCGGACTGCTTGATGGTGTATGTAGAGCCTGACTCTCATTCCTGGGGATGTCTGGAGATGAAGATGGGTGCAGGGGCGGACTGACCATTTGGAAACACTGGGCACTGTCCGAGGGCCCGGGGTCAGTAGGGGGCCCCATGAGATGCCCCTGGTACCTTTTTCAGTTTGGGCAAGGACAAGGGGGGCCGCATGAGTTGTCAGTCCGCCCCTGGATGGATGTCTCTCTATTGATGGGGGGGGGGGGTGGAAGAGGGTAGTGGAAGTCTCTCTCCAGGTGGGAGGGGGGGGGGACAGTGGTGCTGTTGGTCGGTGTCCAGGGCTCAATTTTTGTGTTGCCTAGGGCAGCACAAATCCTAAATACACCACTGATCACACCTGAACCTTGTTGGAACGGGCCATGCACTGGAAGAAACAAAGGCATCATGCAAGCCAGGCAGCGCCGCGGCTGTTCTCAAGCATTTAAAGAGAAACATTAAAGTGCATCGAGAGCCACTTTTTTCCTAGAATTCAGAAGGGCTAGAACCCCTGTTAGGTGAGACCTAATCTAGAATTTGGGAGCTGAAGGTAATGCTTCCAATAGGGAGAACTGTTCTGATGACAACTAATAACTGAATTAGGCTTGGGTTCACACTGATGCGGTGCAGAATTTGCAGCGTTTTCTGTGTGAATTCCGCACCTCATCACAATCGCACACCGTTCATGCAAACCGCTGCGGGTGTGTAGGTTGAGTTAACAACACCCTGAAATCGGTCCGCAAAACGCGGTGCGATGTGCAGAATCGGATCGCATAGGTGTGAATAGCCATGCAATCCTATTCTAGTGCGGACCCAAAAAAGGGTCCTGCACCTTTTTTTTGGTGCGGTGCAATTGTGTATGGCTCCAATCGCACCGCACACAAATCGCATGTAATTGGCACAGGAATGCGGTGTGGTTGCTGTGTGAATCACATGCAATATACCGCTCCACAGACCCGAGATGTTTACTAGGCTCTTGTTCGGAGAGATTTCAGTGAGTTATTCCTAAAAAAATGACAGGCCTACAATAGAAAAACTACATATTTCCATGCAAAAAAATGTACCGCTTTGAGCACAGAAATATGGACAGAATCAGACCACTAGGGAGGCTACAAATGCTTCTAAACGTGCATTAATCACTTGCCCTCCGGAGGATTTACCCCCCTTAATGACCAGGCCTCTTTTTGCTACTTGGCGCTGCACTAATTCAACTGATAATTGCGAGGTCATGCAATGCTGCACCCAAACGAAATTTACGTCCTTTTTTTCACACAAATAGAGCTTTCTTTCGGTGGTATTTGATCACCTGTGCGCTTTTTATTTTTCACGCTATAAACAAAAAAAACACCAAAAATTTTGAAGAAAAACAATATTTTTTATTTTCAGCTATAAAAAATATATAGTAAACTCAAAGTTGGTTATAAATTTAGGCCAAAATGTATTCTGCTCCATGTTTTTGGTAAAAAAAATCCCAATAAGTGTATATTGATTGCTTTGTGTGGAAGTTATAGCGTCTACAAACTATGGTATAGATACTGCAATTTACACCATTTTTCTGCTATACAGCGCTGTGCTAGTTTAACGGACAATTGCGCAGTCATGCAATATGGTACATAAATGAAATTTACATCCTTTTTTTCCCCACAAATTGAGCTTTCTTTCGGTGGTATTTGATTGCCTGTGCGGTTTTTATTTTTTGCGCTATAAAAAAAAAGGCTGACAATTTTGAGGAAAAAAAAATATTTTGGACTTTTTGCTATAAAACATGTCCAGTAAAAAAAAAAATGCAAAAATCAAATTTAGTCATAAATTTCTGCCAAAATGCATTCTGTGACATGTCTTTGCTAAAAAAAAAACCAATACGTGTAAATTAATTGGTTTACGTGAAAGTTATAGCGTTTACAAATGGCGGGAAAGATACTGGGATTTTTAGGTTTTTTTTATACTAATAATGGTGGCGACCAGCGAATTATGGCAGCGACTTATGGCGGGACTGCGGCGGACATTCTGACATTGGGGGTACTGACTTGGGGTCACTGACATCCCCAAAAACACTAATACAGTGATCAGTGCAAAAAAAAAAAAAACTGACACTGTACTAATGGCAATGGGGAGGAAGGGGTTAACTTTATTTAGCAGGGAAGGGTTATAGGAGTGAGGGGAGTGTTTTACTAGGGGGCGGGGGTGTGTACTGGGCGGGACAAGGCTGATCGAGAAAGTGAAACTATTCTTTCTCGATCAGCTCATCCTCGAGCTGACAGGGAAGTGACAGACAGCACAGCTACTGCAGCTGTGCTCTCTGTCACCGTTTACCGCCGATCGCCGGGACATAGCCACTAATGAGCAGCTGTGACCCGGCAACTGACATCTGCGGCGGTGATCCACAGGACAAATAGGGCGGCAGCGCGCCTCGCGCGCGCCCCCTATTTGTTTACAAACCGTACGTTTTAAAACGTGGTTTTGCCTGTGAGTGCCGCCCTGCCACCGTATATGTACAGTGGCTGGGCGGCATGCGGTTAAATGTGCATAAACGTGGCTAAACTGATGTTTTTTGACCTACGTTTTCCAGCGGTCAGAGGAGTTTTCCAAAACGCCCCGTGTACATGAGCCCTTAAGGCTTATTTAGGTGCACTAATTTAGTTTCACCAAAATGACAACACACAGATCCCAGTTATGGCAACAAAATCCTCTAGCTCTCACATACCTTAGTTATCTTCCTGAGCACCCCGAGAAGCTGCATGCAGGCACTGATTTCCAACTCAGTATCTATCCCATGGCATGTACTTCTGCAATGAGACCTTTTCTTTTGGTCAGAGAGACTCAGAGCTTTGCACCTAAGGATATGTTGCGGCAGAGCTCCAACTTCGTAGCTGGAGGATGCCAATTGCAAACTGAGAGCCCCGAGTTCAGGAGCTCCCAGGGTGCTTAGGAAAACACAAAATGTGCAAACACTTCTCAGTGAATGCTTAGCTCAGCTTGGTAGCTTCTAAGTATAGGTTTACTTTAACTGAAAGAATTTTTATTACCGTTCATGGATAAAAGTGTAATGGCTTCAGGAGATTATCAGGACAGAGGATCATTTTTATTCATGGGGCATAGTAAGGAGTAATAATTTTCAGCGCACACCTGACTTCCTTTCCAGTAAGATCTGGTTCACACTGATGCGGTGCGGAATTCGCGGCGTTTTCAGTGCTAACTCCGCACCGCATCAGAATCGCACCCCGTTCATACGAACCGATACGGGTGTGTATGTTAAGTAAACAACACCCTGAAAGCGGTCCGCAAAACGCGGTGCGATGTGCAGAATCGGATCGCATAGGAGTGAATACTCGTGCGATTCTAGTGCGGACCCAAAAAAAGGGTCCTGTACGTTTTTTGTGCGGGTGCAGTGCGAATAGAGACATACAAAATGTATGGCTCTGATCGCACCGCACACACAAATCGCATGTGATTTGCACAGGAATGCGGTGCGGTTCCTGTGCGACTCACATGCGATGTACCGCATATATGTGAACCCGGGCTAAAGCTGCATAATGTAAAAAACTGTTTTCACCCAGTGTTGTTCCTGTTTGCAGCCACTTCATTTCTACATCAGTAATGGCTAAATCCAGGGGTGGACTGACAACCCATGGGGCCCCCGGGCAATAGGGGATCATGGGGCCCCTGTGTACTTGCCCACACTCAAACCACACCCAAAAAAAGTCTATTAAAGGTACCAGAGGCATCTCCTGGGGCCCCCTACTGACCCCGGGCCCTCGGGCAGTGCCCAAGTTCCCAAATGGTCAGTCCGCCCCTGGCTAAATGGCATTTCGGGGCGGGGTTTCCTTATAAGTGGACTATAACTGAGTAATGTGTGTAAAATGGTCACACATATTATTATTATTATACAGGATTTATATGGCGCCAACAGTTTGCTCAGCGCTTTACAATATAACATATTCCCCATGTACTGTAGAAGCCCATCTTCCAGGGTGCAGGGCAGGGGTGTATTTACCGCAAGACAAACAAGACATTTGCCTAGGGCGGCATTTTTCAGGGGGGGGGTAGCGCCGTCCCCCGAAAGAAGGAAAGAAAGAAGGGACACACGCAACACGGCTGCTTGATGATGTATGCAGACCCTTGTTCCCGGGGATGTCCAGAGCTGTGAAGATGAGTGTCTTATGTCTTGCTGGGGTGGGGGGTTGCCAGTGTATGGGGGGGCGTTGGTAGCGGAACGCTCTCTCGGGTGGGGGGGCTGGGGTGTTGTTGGTCAATGTAAGGCTCTCCTCGTGGGGGAGGGGGGGTGTTGTTCGGTGTCAGGGTCTCTCCGTGGGGAGGGGAGCCAATTTTTGTGTTGCCTAGGGCAGCAGGAAACCTAAACACACCACTGGTGCAGGGACAGAGTGTTTTTCACCCAATGAAAGGTTTTCATGGCAGGATCACTGAGTACAATTATGTCAAAAAAAAAAAAAAATGTTTAAAATATACTTTTGAAATTATTGTTAAAGCGGAACTTAACTCCCCAAAAGGTGTTAGTTTCATTTAAACCCCCCCCCCCCCCCAAGCGGAATTGCGTTTTTTTCTGTGGCCCCTTCTTTTGTCATCTCTTTTTTTTTCTTTGGCCTCAATCATTGTTAATACTAATACAACTGTGATATAGCTAGAAAATCATCCAGTTTAAGTCCTCCTGCACACGGGACGTTTTTACAGCGGCTGTTTTTGGCTTTTGATGTTTTTTTCTACAGTTAGTAACCCCCCCAGCATGTTATCCTAGGTGTCCATGCACACATAGACTGTAATGAGAAATCAGCGAGCGCTCAGGATTCCAATGGGGTTAGCAGCATGTGCACTAAAAAGGAACCCAAAGACCTTATATAACATACATAAACAATAGGTATAACAATATAACAATAATAACAGGCACATCCCTTTTGATAACATGCGTGAGCACAAAACGCGTCAAGGAGGAGCCGTACGCCGTGACGTCACGCCGCCGGAGCAGCCTCACGAAGGTTCGGCTGCTATCTTAGAGAGTGGCTGGACTCTATCCAGAGAACAGTTGCAGAGCAGTCCCAGATCCAGAGGAGGGAGTCTCTTCCTATGCTGCTTGTCTGGTCCACTTAAAGGGGGCTTCCTGCAGACCTTACAATCATTATATGATTCAACATATTGCGCTTTTACTATGCGCATCTGGTGAGTGTGCGCATTTTTATTATATCCCCAGCAAAAATGCACATCCCTTTTGATAACATGCGTGAGCACAAAAACGCGTCAAGGAGGAGCCGTACGCCGTGACGTCACGCTGCCGGAGCCTCACGAAGGTCCAGCTGTTATCTTAGAGAGTGGCTGGACTCTATCCAGAGAACAGTTGCAAAGCAGTCCCAGATCCAGAGGAGGGAGTCTCTTCCTATGCTGCTTGTCTGGTCCACTTAAAGGGGGCTTCCTGCAGACCTTACAATCATTATATGATTTAACATATTGCACTTTTACTATGCGCATCTGGTGAGTGCGCATTTTTATCATATCCCCTGCATGAATTAAAGTCACATGGGTTAAAGTCACACAAAATCCTTTGATATCACCTGTGCAACAGGATCTTTATGCGGTACAATTCTCTGACCGGTGTCTGTCAGACCTTCACCATTATATGAACATTTTTTTGTCTGTTTATTGACTTTTACAGTTGCACGTATTTATTTACGCTTATCATAGCGAGCCACTTTCAGTTTATCACTTGTGTTTATTTATTTGAACCACCATTTTTACACTCTTATACACGTAGACTGTAATCAACTTTTTTGGCTGGAAAAAAACCCAGAACTAGTGGGTTTCTAGAGGACTTTTTTAGCTGTATAAACACTCGGATGCTGAAAAACGTGGCAAAATGCCGCAAAGCGGGGTTTTTGGACTTTTTTTTACCCCCCCAAATTTTTGTCGGAAAAAAAAAAAACACAAACCCGGAAAACGCGGCAAAACACCGCTAAAAATGCAAGTGCGGAGAATGCCGCTAAACGCGGCAAAACTCAGCTACACGCTAATGTCAAAACGCTAAAAAAAAGCTGAAAAACTCATGTTTTTAACGTGACTTTACACAGCTAACATTACCAGCGTTATCAAAACGCCCTGTGTGTATGGAGCCTAAATAAATCTGAGTTCTGTGCTATCCACCCCAAGTAAAATCTAGAGAGCTCCTGACATGTTGACTTGGAAGGGGAGGGGGTCTGCCTTCTGAACCCCTAGGCAATTGAATTTCTTTCTGCCTGATGGTTCACTGATCAGTTTTAAATTTCTGCAAGGAGCCTGTGGTGGGTTTTATGGAATTCTTCTTCTGTATCAGAAACCAGAGTTACCAGATCACTGTCAATGTCTAGATGAAAAACATCTGCAAAATAAAACTCTAATGTGCTAATACTATCAATTAAAATCCGTATTGGAAATCTTGTACTACTGCAATTCACTCAGTAAAAACACTTTGGGACTAATTTATAATGAAGATTAGATGCCACTATCCATTCTTCATTCTATTCCATTGGGGTCCGCAAATTAGGGCCCGCAGTTCACAGCACATTCATAACATACAGGCTGTGGTGTATAGTCTGCGTTGCCCCATGGAGTTAGTTTTAACGTGGCAGAAAGAGCTCCGTGATTGTAGAAAGAGTCCCGTGATTGGGGAAATAGGTCACAAAACCTGGCTCTCCTGTTGTTTCCATCAACTTCTCTTCATTACTATTGTGCTCCACCAGCTTGGTTTGGTTTTTACACCAGTGTTATGGCTGCAGGACAGTTATACCTCTGCTTTGTAAATGCACCCCTAGAGTTTTTTAAACTTGTTTATCGACATGTTTTCACCTTCTTCTAGGTCAGAAAACAAAACCAATGCGAACAATGCTCCTCTAGAAAAAGATAAATCACATCCTTCTGAAGTCCAGCATCCCAAGATAAATCTGAAACTGGAGACCTGCACAGAGAAGTCGGAGACAGAAATGGATAAAACACAGCTAGACTCTGGAACGCAGAACTTATCATTGCCAAACCCTGGAGTCAACTTTGGTGTCCCCCCAAGCCCTGGGGTGTTTGACCTACAGAGCCCCGTTGTCATCATTGGTGAAGATGTCTTCCAGATTATAGGTGGGTACAGGAAGGGAAAGCACAAGTCTGGGAAAATAGCACATGCACAGCTGAAATACTTGTAAAGGAATTGTCTGAGCAAGAACCATCCATTATCAATGCATCTGGTGCTTCTGGCAGTCTCATGTTTCAAGCAGTGGGTGGGATGTTTAATCAGTAAACAGTGCAAGCACATGGAAAAAGGTAGGTTTGCAACATATGGGACACTGATAGAAGCAGGGACTGCATGCAAATGAAAAGATTTTACAGACTGGCACTTAGTTCTCTTTAACTTGAGGCAGGTTGACATACCAGCAACTCAATAACTCAACCAAAACTCCACCCAGGGGCGTATTTACCACAAGGCAAACAAGACATTTGCCTAGGGTGGCATTTTTCAGGGGGCAGCACTGCCCCCCTGGAAGAGGGGACACATGCGGCTTGGGCACCAGGTTGGATCTGAGAGAGGCCGCGGGCTGCTTGACTCTTGTTCCCGGGGATGTCCAGAGCTGTGAAGGTGTCTTTTTCTTTCTCGCTGGGAGGGGGGAGTGGACGGTGTATGGGGGCGATGGTAGTGGAAGGCTCTCTCGGGTGGGGAGGGGCCAGGGGTGTTGTTGGTCAATGTCAGGCTCTTTCCGGGGGGCGCAATTTCGTGTTGCCAAGGACAGCACAAAACCTAAATATGCCACTGACTCCACCCAAGCCTGCCCATGACTGACCCAATTCCATCATTAGCCAATTTCCTGAGAATGCCCTGACCCATAAAAGTCCAGAACTTGGAACTGTTGGGTAGTATAGATATTCCTGTGTTTTATATTTGCATTAAGGTCACATGCTTCTTATTTTTCAACAGATGATTGTCCCCCTCCCCCAGCCCCCTTTCCCCATCGCTTTGTGTCTCTCCGGACCGAAAGCATGTCAGATCTGTATGACCTAAACATGGATGACATTCTTGGCGGGTAAGAGAGAGCGGCTTAGTTGGACATTTTGAACAGGTTCATAAAAAGTTTAGTAAAAAAAAAATTTAAAAAGAAAAAACCTTTTGAGATTTGGACAAAAGGGGATGAACTCTCAGCAGCATAACTAGAGATAATTGTAAAAATTTGACAGAAATTCTAAACAAAACTAAACTAGTTCCAGAGCTGAGATGATATGGTGGCAAAGGTCCTCTTTTACTGCTCTTGTATTGTGTTCTGGCTCAAGCAGAACACAGTTGTAGTAGTCTGAAGGTCTGAATTTTAGATATCCAAACTTTGATGGAAGTTGAAACTAGTGGACGGCCCATTTGAAGTTTAGGTGAGATGGTTCCTTCACCAAAGCAGCTCTGGTACATAAGGACCATGTTCACAAGCAGTAAAAAGGGGTCTTCAAGAGGAGAAAATTCCATTAGAGGCACATACATTCTCCTACGCTTCCAAAGAAGCCTATGGGGCCTTGCTTTCCAGGATTAGTTATGTAAAAAGACTTCAGATTTGAACCACGGTTAGTTGATATGACTCAAACCTTTTACATGGAGAGAAAGACTAATTCTGGAGCTTTCCCAGGCATTTCCAGGTCAAGGGAGATCCTAGGGGGAATGTATTTCCCTGCTGGTCTTGGAACTCCTTGGAATACCCCAAGAACAGCTGCAGTTTCTGGCCTAGGTCTGGATTGACCTGCTTGAGGCTGCTTCCCGTGCAGTCTCTAAGGCTACAATTACATCTCTTTGATTTTGTTTAGTGAAAGAATGGTGCAAAAATACAAAATTCGACTTGTTTCTTATTTTTTCTCAGCAAAATGCATCTTTGGGTAATGTGAGTAAAATGCACATCATGATAAACACAAAATGTGAATTTACTATTTTTATTTATTACCGGTACTTATATAGTGCTGTCCATTTACACAGCGCTTTACATAATGTATATACCGTACATTGTACAGTCACAACGGTGAATGTAGGCCAATAGGACCAGATAATAGAAGAGGAGAATAAACAGGGCCAAATTGCTACTGATTTTAACAGAACATGGCAGCCAGTAAGACATTGCAGGACCAGTGTACAGAGATTTGTCACCAGTACAGGATGTGTCTCATATGTCATGGTGTCCATTCTACATTTAGGGGCCGGTTTGGAGAAGTCCACATCTGCACAGAGAAGGCAACCGGTATGCAACTTGTAGCTAAAGTTCTGAAAGTCCAGAGTGAACGAGACAGGGTAAATGTGGGAGGCCCAAAATGTTCACGTCTGCAACATGTCATCCTTCTGTGTGTAGCTTTGTCCCCTGCGAGGGCTGCCATCTGTTTTTCTTTCTCGTTCCATCTCTCTTCCTATTGTTCTCTCCTTTCCTGTCCTCTCCCATCATCACTCCCCTCATCACTCCTTTCTTCTCTTCTCTCTACTCCCCTTATCACTCCTCTCCTCACTCCTCCTTCCTTTCCTTTTCTCTCCCTCCTTCACTCTTCTCCTTACTTTCCTCCTCTCATCACTCCTCTCTTTTCTCATCTTTTCTTGTTTTTTTTTTCTCTTGTCTCTCCTTCTCTACTCTTCCCTATCATCTCCCCTCACCTGTCCTATTCCACTTTTCCTCCCTCCACTACTGTCTCTTCTCTTTCTCTTCCCCCTTCTTTCCTCTCCTCTCCTTCTTTCTCTTCCTACTTTCTATCTCTTCCTCTTTCTCTTGTCTCCTTTTCCTCACCTCTTCCCCTCCTCTCCTCTTGCTCTTCTTTTCCTCTTCTCTTCCTCTTCTCTCCTCTCCTCCTCTTCTGTTCCTCTCCTCTTCCTCTTCTGTTCCTCTTCCCTTCTTCTTCTCTTCCTCTCCTCTTATCTTCCCTTCCTCTCCTCTTCCCTTCCTCTTCCTCTTCTCTTCCCCTCCTCTCTCTCTCCTCTTTTCTTCCCCTCCTCTTCCTCTCATTTTTTTCTATCTTCTCCCCTTACCTATCCTACTACTCCTCTCTGCTCCCCTCCTCTTCTTTCTGCTCCCTTTGCCTCTCTTTCTTTTCTTTTTCTCTCTTTTCTTCTGTCTTCTTCATACCTCTTCACTTTTTCTCCTCTCTTTTCTTCTGTCTTACTCTCTGTGCAGGTCCCTCTCACACTTTCTTTTTATTAACACCTCATTCCACCCTCCTTTTCCTTCTCTCTCCTCCTCCTTCTTTCTATTTTTTCTCCTCCTCTTTTTCTTGTCTCCTCTTTCTCACCTCTTCTCCTCCTCTCCTCTTCTCTTGCTCTTCTTTCCTCTTCTCTTGTCCTCCTCCTCTTCTGTTCCTCTCCTCTTCCTCTTCTCTTCACTTCCTCTTCCCTTTCTCTTCTCTTGACTTCTTCTTCCTCTTCCTCTTCTCCTCCTCCTCTTCTGTTCCTCTTCTCTTCACTTCCTCTTCTTTTCCTCTCCACTTCTCTTCCCCTCCTCTTCCTCTTCTCTTCCCCTCCTCTTTTTCTTCTCTCTCTTCTTCCTCTTCTCTTCCCCTCCTCTTCCTCTTCTCTTCTCTCTTCTCTTCCTCTCATTTTCTTTCTATCCACTCCCCTTACCTATCCTCCATCCACTCCTCTCTGCTCCCCTCTCTTCTTTCTGCTCCCTTTGCCTCTCTTTCTTTTCTTTTTCTCTCTTGTCTCCTGTCTTCTTCATACCTCTTCACTTTTTTTCCTTCTCTCTTTTCTTCTGTCTTACTCTCTCTGCAGGCCCCTCTCACACTTTCTTTTTATTAACACCTCATTCCACCCTCCTTTCCTTCTCTCTCTGCAGGAAATGGCTCTGAATGAGATAAATGTAATGAACCAGTTGGATCACCTCAATCTCATCCAGATGTTTGATGCTATCGAAACCCCTAATGAGATCTTCTTATTGCTAGAATAGTGAGTTCTTTTTCTCTTCTATTCCTCGTTTATCACCAGTGCCTACAAAATGTAGCCGCCTCAGAATACTGGAGGGCAGTAACATGCTGCTCTCGGTGCAATCATTTCTTTCTTTGCACAGGTATGTACATAAGTACGTAAGTGAATGCCTCAAGTGCAGACTCTGGCCCTCTCCTATTTCAGAACAAACCTTTTGGCTCTTTTTCTACAACAGTGGGTTTAGAAGTTTATTTTTTAATAAACCTAAAAGTCTTTATAGATGTTGAAACAGCTGGGCATGCAGATGAAATTGCAGTGAAAGAGAGAAAAATTGTAACATAAGTACATACCTGATGGATAAAGACAAGCTATTATCTAATTTGGCCCTTTGACCAAATGAGTATATATATATTTATTTATTGAAATATATAATGAATACAGGGGTGGACTGACCATTTGGAAACTCGGGCACTGCCCGAGGGCCCGGGGTCAGTAGGGGGCCCCATGAGATGCTCCTGGTACTTTTTAATAGGCTTTTTTGAGTTTGGGCAAGGACACAAGGGCCCCATGACCCCTATTGCCCGGGGGCCCCATGATTTGTCAGTCCGCCCCTGATTCAATATGAATTATATATTGAATATTGAAATATATATTGAATCCTTCTTAGATTGTAAGCTCCCAGGATCAGGGCCCTCCTAATCCTCTTGAACTGTATTGTTGCTGTATTGTCTCCTGTTATATTGTAAAGCGCTGAGCAAACTGTTGGCGCCATAAATCCTGTATAATAATAATAATATGGCCAAGATTGTAGTATTTCAAATATATGTCAATATATTTGGGAAGAATATTTTTAAAATATATTTCAAATATATTTTTCTTCCATGTTGGAGGGCAAAGGGCTAGGCCCTCACTTAGGTCTTTATTGATATCTCTGTTGGGGAACTTTATCATCAGAACATGAAATGATGGTTATGATATTGTTCTAATGTGCCTTTTATTCCATGTTCCTCCATCTATATTTTGCCTTAACTCGCTGGATCCATTCCACTGGAAATTTCCAACTCTGCCCTGGGCACAGTGTGGGCGGAGGGGAGCTGTTTGAGAGGATCATCGATGACAGTTATCAGCTAATGGAGGTCGATGCCATGGTGTTTGTGCGTCAGATATGTATCTTCTACATGCATCAGATGTATGTGCTGCACCTAGGGACTTAAAGGTAATTCTGTGAAATTGAGTGTTCTGGCCGTTGGCTTGGATTACATTTACATTGGCTGACCACATAACAGGAAGGGAATGTCTTTTCGCTCACAGCATTATCATACAACCCCCACATGCCAATCTTTACAGCATCCTTTTACAGTTATAACAGCTTTTAAATCTAGCTTGACACAATGTGTGCAGCGATACGGGTATCTTCGCCCATTCTTCATGGGCAAATTCCAGTTCAGTCACATTCTTAGGCTTTGCAACTGCTTTCTTTAAGCTCCCACCAGAGGTTCTCAATCGGATTTAAGTCTGGTGACTGCGATGGCCACTCCAAAATGTTCCAGCCTTTCCTTGCAATTTGGAGGTAACATTTTATTTGATTTTCCAGTACAAAAGAGAAATGGTAACACATTTGTACCTGCAAGCAAAAAGCCCCAAATGATTGACCCTCCACATATACAGTAGGCAATTTCCATTTTCCTCCCCAAACATAGCGTTGATCCCTGCCTAATTTTGCTCATCCTTCCACAGAACACTATCCCACAACTTTTGTGGTTATTCCCCCAACCCTTTTTATTCTTTGGAGACAGCAAGGGGGTACCCCATCCACCTCCTCTTTCCCCGTCTTATTGTCCATCCTCCTACCCACATCTGACCTTTTCTCAGTTCCCAGCAGTCACACGGGGACTTTCTTCACTTTCCCCTCTTCTTTCTGCCACGACCACCTCCTCTTTCCTTGGTATGTTTAACCATGCCCACCTCCTTTTTCCTGAACCTCTGTTCTTCCACCTCCTCTTACTACTGTATTACATAAACCCCATTTTGGGTAGTTACCTCCTCTTCCACCTTCACTTTCCCCAACCACCTCCTCTTTCCCCATCCACCTCCTTTTTGCCCCCTCATTCCCCCCACCCTTTCCCCTCTTCCTCCCCTTCCTCCTTCACTTTCCCCAACCACCTCCTCTTTCCCCATCCACCTCCTTTTTCCCATCCACCTTCCTTCCCCCAACCACCTCCTCTTTCCCCATCCACCTCCTTTTTCCTCTTTTTTCCCACCTCCTTTTTCCCATCCCTCCTTTCCTCTCCTCTTCCACCTTCACTTTCCCCAACCACCTCCTCTTTCCCCATCCACCTCCTTTTTCTCATCCCTCCTCTTTCCCCATCCTCCTCCTCTTTCCTCTTCCACCTTCCACTTTCCCCTCCACCTCCTCTTTCCCCATCCACCTCCTTTTTCCTCATCCACTCCTCTTTCACCATCCTCCTCCTCTCCTCTTTCCTCATCCACCTCCTCTTTCCCCATCCCCATCCACCTCCTCTTTCCTCATCCACCTCCTCTTTCCCCATCCACCTCCTCTTTCCCCATCCACCTCCCTTTCCTCATCCACCTCCTCTTTCCCCATCCACCACCTCCTCTTTCCCCATCCACCTCCTCTTTCCTCTTCCACCTCCTCTTTCCCCATCCACCTCCTCTTTCCTCATCCACCTCCTCTTTCCCCATCCACCTCCTCTTTCCTCACACCTCCTTTTACCTAAACTATATCTTCTCTCATATTTATCCATCTATCTCTAATGCTGCTCTCTCTCGGATTCTCAGTTAAGGCCCTCTCCTCGAATCGGTACCAATCACTCATTGTGTTTATTCAGGAATGAAAGGGGCTGGTAAATGTGACCCTTCCCCTACTCTCCATCCTGAAGGGTCCTATTGTGTGCTTTCAGCTGCTGGTGGCAAGGAGAGAAGGGAAGCCAGAAGCACTGTGGGAGTGAAGGCAAACGGGGGGGCCTGGGTAGCAGGGGGAAACGTATGGTGCACAGGGAGGGTGATGGGTGCAGCAGGTAGGGGAGGGTTAGGGGGGCAATTACTGGAACAGATCCCCTGTATGGCTTTCTCTGCAGCAGCTGAAAGCCAGTGGGAGAGCTGAAGAAGCCAGCTTTTAGCTGCTGCAGTGAGAGCCATACAGGGGATCGGTTCCAGTAATTAACCCCCCACTCACCCCGCGCTGAACGCCCTCCCTGCCCACATTCGATTCACCCAGCTGCCTGGGCCCTGTACAGGAGGACCGGTGGTCCCCCCTTATCCACTGCCCTGCTTGCAGAGAGTGATGCATAGAGACCAACAGCACCTGGCGCAGGGGGTGGCTGGAGAGCAGTATGCAGCTAAAGATCTAGTAGCAGAAAGGTTCCCCACAGTCACTCTGATGAGAGTCCCTATGCTGTCCTTCCTCCTCTAGAACCTCTCCCCACGCCAGGCACACTCTCCCTATCAAGCAGATTCCTGTCCCTGACCTGATCAAATGCAAAATGCATGCCAACTGCAGTGAGCGAGTGCTTTTAATAAGCCCTGCCCTCACTAATGATGGTTGCAGGGGTTATTGGTGTGGCAGCGTCCAATCGAACAGCAGTCTACCGTATGACATGTACGGAGGCCTAAGAAGAATGTGCATTTTTCCAATCCTCAACCCTCCCTGCAGAGTGGACATGACAGCACCATCTGTGTAGAGAAGCCACACTACACCTGCCTACACACACCTCTCCCAAGCCCTATAAATTCTCATTCCCATAATCAGTTGGGTGACCTAGCTAGGCAGGGGTTCATCCTCACCCCCCCCCCCAAACTATCCATGAATCTCAAAAGAAGAAGCCAGTGGCACGCCATGAAATCCTAATCCTTCATAAGTGAAGCTTTATTGTTCTGGAAAAGGTCCCAGGCGGAACCTTGTGTTTATTGTCCAGCACAATAAAGTTTAATTTACGAAGGATTTCATGGTGTGCCCAGTGGTGTATTTAGGTTTCGTGCTGCCCTAGGCAACACAAAAATTGGCTCCCCTCCCCCCTCCCACAGAGAGACCCTGACACTGGCCGACACCCCCCTCCCCCACAAAGAGAGCCTGACATTGACCAACAACACCCCCACCCACACCCAAGAGAGCCTTCCAATACCACTGCCCTCATACAATGGCAACACCCCAACCCGGCAAGAGATAAGACACTCACCTTCACAGCTCCGGACATCCCCGGGAACAAGAGTCAGGCTCTGCATACACCATCAAGCATCCCGCAACCTTTCTCAGATTCCACCTGGTCCCCGTGATGCGTGTGTCCCTTCTTCCTTTTCTTCTTTCGGGAGCCCCCCTGAAAAATGCTGCTGCCCCCCTGAAAAATGCCGCCCTAGGCAAATGCCTTGTTTGCCTTGTGGTAAATACACCCCTGGGCGTGCCACAGGCTTCTTTCTTATGGATTTAGGTCAGAGTAAACTGGGTTGACCAGTTTGTATTGGCTGCTGGGAGATCAAAAGCTATAAAATTCTTGTAACACTGCTTGCAATATCTCAATTGTCCATCCAAGATATCTGGATAAAGCTATTGACTTCATGTACTGACAGGAGCCGATAGAATTCTAGTACTCTCTTCAATTCTAGTATTACCCTTTGTTTAAAATTCTATTTTATCAGAGCTATTGCAAATTCTGAAGACGTAACATATTTTTATGAACATGGGTTTTGCATGACACATGACACCTTCTCAGGGATATCACATGAAACCTGATGTTACCGCTAGATACCTTTTCATTTAACCTTTTTTTTAAATTCCGTTGTATTACAATGGTGATTTTTTTAAAGAAACAGACATCGTAGCCGTGGATCCTTACTGGATCCTGTTTGTATCCGAGGTCTGTGGCTTTATTGTGTTTTTTTCTCATATCTGATGGACTTTCACTGATGACTGCTTGTTATGCTGCATGGATACATTTACTGGTAAGCAGGTGGGAGTATGTTTACTATTATCCTCTGTATAGGATGCCAAGGACGGTTACTGTATGGGAGATATATTTCTCCACTATTTGGGTTGTGGTCCCTTTAAGGGAGAGTGCAGGAGACATTTTTAGTACTCAAGGGTTCTCACCCATGCAGAATGAGGGGTTCTGGGGTTGTCCAGTTCAGTGTTTCTCAACCTTTTTTCAGTCAAGGCACCCTTTACAAATGATGGGTAGTCCCGAGGCACCCATTTAAATTGTGGACAGTCTTGAGGCACCCTTTAAAACTATGGACAGTCTTGAGGCACCCTTTAAAATTATGAACAGTCTTGAGGCACCCTTTAAAATTATGGACAGTCTTGAGGCACCCCATTCTAAAATAGGGTGCCTCAAGACTGTCCATAATTTTAAAAGGGCACCCCATTCTAAAATGTGAGAAACTATTCTAATAGTTTTTATAATGCAGCAACATCTACACTTGTAGGACACTCAACATTAGAGGTGATTTATTAACTAAAAGGCAGGCCTGTCCACCAGCTGCTTGTATACAAGTTTTGGCCAATTGTTAGACAGAAGAAGTTGTTAGAAGAAACCTCAAGGCACCCCAGGGTGCCTGGGCACCCTGGTTGAGCAAGGCTGGTCCAGTTGAACAGGAGAGGACTAATTTCAGTACTCTCTGGATTAGTTATTCCTCATTTGGGACCCAGAATTCTGAGGCTCATAGGGACCTTGAATGGGAAAGAGCCAACAAAGCCTGATTACAGGTACTTTGGTCACAAAAGGGTTTTTAAACCGCCTGCAAGGGAAGCTTGAAAAGCAGCAGGAAAGAGTCAGCATGGGGTTTATTTACTAAACCTGGTTGACTCAGAATCTTGTCCACTTCTGCATAAAAACCAATCAGCTTCCAGGTTTTATTGCTGAAGCTTAACTGAACATGCTGAGGTTAGAAGCTGATTGGCTACCATGCACAGGTGCCCAAGATTCTGAGTCAACCAGGTTTAGTAAATAAACCCCCATGTGTCTGTGGGGTGGAGTGGCATAGTCTACAGTTGTGAAATTGTGTAGGCAATCTAGAGTCTTGTATCTCGAAACAAAGGGGAAGCCTAAACCCAAGTATGGGACTGGTATACTGGTGGTGAGCCTTTTGTTTTGCTCTTTATTATAAAGAAAGCTGCTTGTGTTTTCTTGTTTTTGAGAGATCAATAACCACTCTTTACTTTTACAAGGGACTGGCTGGTGATCTCGGGCCCTCCATATTACGCCACTTAAAAGGTGTAATTTTAATATGAAAGACCCCCAAACTGCAGTGGGCGAGTAGAAAAAGCCAGATTGTTTGTGCTTTTAATAACCTCAGTGGTCTTTAGCAGAACAGGTCGCTTTTCCCATCCAGTTCCCCTGTCAGACACATATTGATATATCGTTTCATCTCTGTTTGTGCAGCTTTCCATAGTGTCATATTAATAGGAGCCTATGAGAATTCGAGTGTCTAAATCCCCAAGGCTTAGGTGGAGAGTTCAGACAAGTCTGCTTACAGAAACCCTGACCTGTGACCTTTGAAAGCCTCACAGAAAGTTCCTGCGCTCGCTCGGTAACCAAGGAACGGGTAGAGATTTGGTTCAGAAGAGAGGACATATTTTTATCGCACACGTTGTGCTGGGACAGCTCTTGTTATCAGAGCACCCCCAAGTCTAAACAGTAGTCGGTCAGATCGAATAACATTCAGCACTGCTACAGTATCAGGTTAGGGAGCTTTCTGTCCGGTTGCCCAGGTCCTGCATCCTGGCGCTCCTCCAATGGTCGGGGCCCAGCTGCTGCCTTCCAGTGAGGCCATTGGTGCTGTTACAAATCCGGGATGACGTCCCTTGCCCTTTCCAAGTTGGCTCAGGCCGGAACACAAAGGATACCAGCGGTGGATGCCTTGGCACTCTTTGCATTGGTTTCACGTAGGAAAACTTTACACTATGTTGGAGTGCGGTCTCCAATCTACTTCTCTGTTTAACTTGATCTATAAAGCTCTCACAAACAGGGCCCTCCTAACCCTGCTTGAATTCTATTGTAACTGTACTGTCTCCCATTATTCTGTACAAAACAAATCCTTTAAAAAAAAAAAACTTAAAAAAGACAATAAATTATTACTATTATAATATAAATGTGAGTGCAATCAGCTTTAAATGAACTCCATTAAAGTGGTTATAAAGCCTAAGATGAATAGTTAGCACTTCTGCCTGGCAAAACTTCTGCTTGAATTCTATTGTAACTGTACTGTCTCCCATTATTCTGTACAAAACAAATCCTTTAAAAAAAAAAAACTTAAAAAAGACAATAAATTATTACTATTATAATATAAATGTGAGTGCAATCAGCTTTAAATGAACTCCATTAAAGTGGTTATAAAGCCTAAGATGAATAGTTAGCACTTCTGCCTGGCAAAACTAGGGCCATTGGTTCAAATTCCTACCATGGTACTACCTGCCTGGAGTTTGCATGTTCTCCCTGTGCCTGCGTGGTTTTCCTACGAGTACTCTGGTTTCCTCCCACACTCCAAAGACATGCTGGTAGGTGAATTGGCTCCTGTCTAAATTGGCCCTAGTATGTGCATGTATGAATGTGAGTTAGGGACCTTAGATTTTAAGTTGCTCAAGAGCAGGGACTGATATGAATGTATAATACCTATGTAAAGCGCTGTGTGAATTGACAGCGCTACATAAGTACCTTGCATTAGGGTAAAAATTGTTAAAGTAGTAGTATCCCCCCCCTCCATTATACTAACCTGAACCCTTAGCATTGTGCCCCATCTGCAGCTCTTTTCTCCCCTCACTTCCTGGTCTTGCAGGCTTTGTTGAGTCCTGGAAGCCGTTTCCAAAAAAACCGCATGAGGGCAAAGATTAGTCAACAGTGTTGCCCATGGTCTCGTTGCAGCTAGTTTTTTTTCCCATTACTAACTTGCAAGCCTCTTTTTGCACTGTGTCTCTACGTGGAGGTAGCCATCTTGGTACGGGAAGGGCTTTGCTTCTTCATGTCAGACCCTCCTATAAGGGGAACAGTGAGCAGCACAGTGATGACATCACCAAGTCTTGGTCCAAAGCTCCTTAAATTAGCAGTCAGAGGCAGCAGTGCCTTAGATGAACTCACACTGTAGATATACAGCTAGCAAGGTTGTGGGTACAGGAGTGCCTAGGCACACTCACATATCAGGAAGTGCACTGCTAATCTTCAGCAGATATTCCAACAAAAGGTACTGCTTAGGCACAAATAACATTTTTAGACGTTACCTATAAAACAGCAGATCTTCAGTTTTTGTGTTCAGGTACACTTTAAGTTGCAGATATTTATCTTTTTTTTATGTTTCAATATTTTTATTGAGTTTTCAAGGATAAACTTTATCTTTTTTTAATGCTTTTGATATCAGTTGTTTATAATTCACTGTGCAGCTCTAGAGATGAACCCATCATTAAGCCCACTGAAGATAATAGATATGGATTGATCTATTGCTCAAGATCTACTTTTTAATGTAAATCTGGAAATTTAAGCCTTAATCTTGTCTTCTGTTATCTTTTCTTGTTTTTCCCACAGCCAGAAAACATTGTATGTGTGTCCCCCACCAGCCATATGGTGAAGATTATAGACTTTGGCCTGGCCCGGAGGTGTGCTTTCTTTGCCTGTTTTGTTGTATCTACAGTTAGGTCCATACTGTATATATTTGGACACAGGCACAATTTTAGTTTTTTTCAGGTATTTACCAAAACATATTTGAGCTATAGTTATATAATGGTATAATGATATGGGCTGAAAGTGCACACTCTCAGGTTTAATTTGAGGGTATGTACATCCAAATTGGAGGAAGGGTTTAGGAATTACAGCTCTAAAGAGTAGCCATCCCCCCTTTTTCAAGGGACCAAAAGTAATTGGACAATTGAATCAAAAGCTGTTTCATGGCCAGGTGTGGGCTATTCCTTTGTTATTTCTTTATCAGTTAAGCAGGTAAAAGGTCTGGAGTTGATTCTAAGTGCGGTATTTGCATTTGGAATCTATTGCTGTGAACCTACATCATGTGTTCAAAGGAGCTGTCCATGCAAGTGAAACAGGCCATTGTAAGGCCTCAAAAATTAAACAGATCCATCAGAGAGATCGCAGCAACATTAGGAGTGGCCAAATCAACAGTTTGGTACATTCTGAGGAAAGAAGAATGCACCGGTGAGCTCAGCAACATAAAAAGGCATGGACGTCCACAGAAGACAACAGTGGATGATCACAGGATTATCTCTGTGGTAAAGAAAAACTCATTCACAACATCCAGACACATGAAGGACACTCTCCAGCAGGTGGGTGTATCATTGTCAAATTGAATAATCAAGAGAAGACTTTACGAGAGCAAATACAGAGGGTTCACCATAAGGTGCAAATCATTCATGAGCCTGAAGAAAAGCAAGATTAGATTTTGCCAAAAAACATCAAAAAAAGCCAAGCCAGTTCTGGAAAAGCATTCTTTGGATGGATGAAACTAAGATTAATCTGTACCAGAATGATGGGAAGAGAAAAGTGTGGAGAAGGCTTGCAACAGCTCATGATCCAAAGCACATAACGTCATCTGTAAAACATGGTGGAGGCAGTGTGATGGCATGGGCATGCATGGCTTCCAGTGGCACTGGGTCATTGGTGTTTATTGATGATGTGACAGGAGACAGAAGCAGCCGGATGAATTCTGCAGTGTTTACAGATATACTGTCAGCCCAGATTCAGCCAAATGCAGTAAAGGTGATTGGACGGTGCGTCACAGTATAGATGGACAATGATCCAAAACACACTGCAAAAGCAACCCAGGAGCTTTTGAAGGAAAATAAGTGGAATATTCTGCAATGGCCGTGTCAATCACCTGATCTCAACCCAATTGAGCATGCATTTCACTTGCTGAAGGCAAAACTAAAGGCAGAAAAACCCACAAACAAAGAACAACTGAAGACAGCTGCGGTTAGAGCCTGGCAAAGCATCAGAAAGGAGGGAACCCAAGCTTTGGTCATGTCCATGGGTGCAGACGTCCGGCAAAGCATCAGAAAGGAGGGAACCCAAGCTTTGGTCATGTCCATGGGTTTCAGACTTCAGGCAAAGCATCAGAAAGGAGGGAACCCAGTCTTTGGTCATGTCCATGGGTTCCAGACTTCAGGCAAAGCATCAGAAAGAAGGAAACCCAGTCTTTGGTCATGTCCATGAGTTCCAGACTTCAGGCAAAGCATCAGAAAGGAGGAAACCCAGTCTTCGGTCATGTCCATGAGTTTCAGACTTCAGGCAAAGCATCAGAAAGGAGGAAACCCAGTCTTCGGTCATGTCCATGAGTTTCAGACTTCAGGCAAAGCATCTGAAAGGAGGAAACCCAGTCTTTGGTAATGTCCATGAGTTCCAGACTTCAGGCAAAGCATCAGAAAAGAGGAAACCCAGTCTTTAATCATGTCCATGGGTTCCAGACTTCAGGCAAAGCATCAGAAAGGAGGAAACCCAGTCTTTGGTCATGTCCATGGGTTCCAGACTTCAGGCAAAGCATCTGAAAGGAGGAAACCCAGTCTTTGGTCATGTCCATGGGTTCCAGACTTCAGGCAAAGCATCAGAAAGGAGGAAACTCAGTGTTTGGTCATGTCCATGGGTTCCAGACTTCAGGCAAAGCATCTGAAAGGAGGAAACCCAGTCTTTGGTCATGTCCGTGGGTTCCAGATTTCAGGCAGTCATTGCTAGTGATTCTTAACAAAATATAAAACATCAACATTTTATTGATGATTCTATTCATTTGTCCAATTACATCTGAGCCCCTGAAAATGGAGGGACTGTGTAAAAAGATGGTTGCAGTTCCTAAAATTGGTACTTAATATTGTATAACCCCTTAAACCCCTTATATGTATAACCCCTTAAATTAAAGCTGAAAGTCTGCATTTCATATCCATTTGGATTGTTTGGTTTTCATTTATTCTGGTGGCATACAGAGCCAAAAGTATGAAAATTGTGCCTGTGTCCAAACATATATGGACCTAATTGTATGTTAATATGTGTTGCGTGTCAGTCTTTTGCCGTGTGTAGCTTTTTATATCCTTGTATCATGCATGCATACTTTAAAGTGTAATTGCAGGTAATGAATGTGGATGCTGTACATGGCACAAGTAATCTCCTGGGGCTCTGAACCTGGGCGGTTTTGTTATACAAATGCTGACTTCACATAGGAAACTGTCCCTTTGGCGTGGTTCCTCACTCCTTCGCACATCGTTATTGACCATTCAGTGTAGTGGGTGGCCTCGAAGGCCAATATGAAAATGTGAAAGAGGAAGCCCAAAGCACTGTTTCCAAGCTGAGGTTGGTATTTCATAACAGAACACCTAGGTACATGCTGAGCATCCAGTGCTGCCTGCCTGTTATGATATGGTAAAGGTGTTAAAAAAAACAACTCTTTAACAAATATTTTCCTATTACTGATTGGCCTTCAGTGTGCTGAAGTTTGATCGTTTTCCCATTCGTGCTTTATTTTCTGATTAATCTATGTTTGATGCAGGTACAAGCCGCAGAACAAGCTGAAAGTCTCTTTCGGCACGCCAGAATTCTTGTCTCCGGAAGTGATTAATTTCGATCATGTCTCTTTCCCGACAGACATGTGGAGTGTCGGTGTCATCACATACATGATGTAATATTGAACGGTGTGATTTTGTATACACATGGCTGAACTAAAAAAAACATTTAAATTTTTGTTTTCCTTCGTCTGTATTTTTAGCCCATTGTTAGGAATAAGGTGATAAATATGCTCCACCCCATTGGCCCATGTCTTATAGGACAACTAAATTAACTTTTTACTAAAAGGCCAGGACAGAGGATGGTGAGAGCTAGCACTCACTTTCTATTTTATCTTTTTTTTTTTCTTTTTTTTTTTTTTTTTCGTAATAAACAAGAATACAAATATTTGTTCCATTCAATGATAAAGTGGTAAGTCTAAGTTAGTAGTGATCAGGGGTGGACTGACCATTTGGAAACTCGGGCACTGCTCGAGGGCCCGGGGTCAGTAGGGGGCCCCATGAGATGCCCCTGGTACCTTTTTCATAGGCTTTTTTGAGTTTGGGGAAGGACACAGGGGCCCCATGATCCCCTATTGCCCGGGGGCCCCATGAGTTGTTAGTCAGCCCCTGGTAGTGGATCATAAGACATATACAATGCATATACCAAAATTTACAATGAGAGATCAGAGACTAACTTTATTAAACTTTACTGGAAGTTGATTGGTTTCTTTGCAGACTTTCACCAGATTTTGCACTCCCAAGTTTTAGTAAATCAATCCCACAGTATCACCTGCCACCCAGACAATCAGGGCATTATGTTACCCCCGATTCACATATATGTGGCCATGTGGGCCTCGTTTTGCACGGGCACGAGAGCCCATTCATTTGAATGGACGCCCGTGACACGCAGGGAAGAAGCCCCTGCACTTCTTTGGAAAACGCAACCCACACAGGAACCTCAGTTCCCAGTACCGTTGTGTTTCCCAGTGCTAATGGCACCCAACCGCGGGTCCGCATTTCTCTGTGCGGGTCGTGTGGCTGCACGGATTTTCATGCGGATCTGCAGCGGCACCACCCGCACAGATGTGAACCTAGGGTCAATGGTGAGCCCCAGTGAAATCTTCTGTGGTCTAATGTCCTAGGCAGATATATCCACTGACCAATGGCCGTCATACAACAAACACAAATCAACCAAATCAATAATGGGATGACCAGCAATCCCAACTAAAAGGGACTTAGTAGAGAGAAGAGGAAATTAAGAAACAGAAGAAAGGAAAAAAAAAATTCACTCCTGTCTGCCAGGTCCCGACTTCCCAACCTCCCACCCCAGCCCTAGCCCCAATCTCAGTCCTATGCGGGCAACTGTTTGTATCGCAGCCAAGGATCCCACATCTTTTCAAATCGGGTTTGTTTTTCTCGAACAATTCTTACTAACTTCTCACTTTCTATTTTTTTTTTTTTTAGAACAGGTATGTTGATGTTTCCTTTAATTAAAAGGCAAGACAAACTGGTGTCAAAATCTATGGCACAACAATAAAATCAAAATAGTACAGGCTTTTGTATGTAAGATTTAGCCCTCATACTTGACATTTTAACAGCGGCTGTTTTTTGGCATTTGATAGTTTTGATAGTCAGTAAACTCCCTATCATGTTATCCTATGTGCCTCATGCACACTTGACGTTTTTACAGCTGCTTTTTTTGGCATTTGATACCTTTTTCTACAGTTCATAAACTCCCCCCAGCATATTGTCCTATGTGTCTGTGCACACTTGACGTTTTTTACAGCAGCTGTTTTTGGCGTTTGATGCCTTTTTCTACAGTCAGTAAATTCCCCCCAGCATGTTATCCTATGTGTCTGTGCACACTTGACGTTTTTACAGCAGCTGTTTTGGCGTTTGATGTTTTTTTCTACAGTCAATATACAGTGGGGCAAAAAAGTATTTAGTCAGCCACCAATTGTGCAAGTTCTCCCACTTAAAAAGATGAGAGAGGCCTGTAATTGGCATCATAGGTAGACCTCAACTATGAGAGACAAAATGAGAAAAAAAATCCAGACAATCACATTGGCTGATTTGGAAAGAATTTATTTGCAAATTATGGTGGAAAATAAGTATTTGGTCACCTACAAACAAGCAAGATTTCTGGCTCTCACAGACCTGGACCTTCTTCTTTAAGAGGCTCCTCTGTCCTGCACTCATTACCTGTATCAATGGCACCTGTTTGAACTTGTTATCAGTATAAAAGACACCTGTCCACAACCTCAAACAGTCACACTCCACCAAACTCCACTATGGTGAAGACCAAAGAGCTGTCGAAGGACACCAGAAACAAAATTGTAGACCTGCACCAGGCTGGGAAGACTGAATCTGCAATAGGTAAGCAGCTTGGTGTGAACAAATCAACTGTGGAAGCAATAATTAGAAAATGGAAGACATACAAGACCACTGATAATCTCCCTCGATCTGGGGCTCCACGCAAGATCTCACTCCGTGGGGTCAAAATGATCACAAGAACGGTGAGCAAAAATCCCAGGACCACACGGGGGGACCTAGTGAATGACCTGCAGAGAGCTGGGACCAACATAACAAAGGCTACCATCAGTAACGCACTACGCCGCCAGGGACTCAGATCCTGCAGTGCCAGACGTGTCCCCCTGCTTAAGCCAGTACATGTCCGGGACCGTCTGAAGTTTGCTAGAGAGCTTTTGGATGATCCAGAAGAGGATTGGGAGAATGTCATATGGTTAGATGAAACCAAAATAGAACTGTTTGGTAGAAACACAACTTGTCGTGTTTGGAGGAGAGAGAATGCTGAGTTGCATCCAAAGAACACCATACCTACTGTGAAGCATGGGGGTGGCAACATCATGCTTTGGGGCTATTTCTCCGCAAAGGGACCAGGACGACTGATCCATGTACAGGACAGAATGAATGGGGCCATGTATCATGAGATTTTGAGTGCAAACCTCCTTCCATCAGCAAGGGCATTGAAGATGAAACGTGGCTGGGTCTTCCAACATGACAATGATCCCAAACATACCGCCCGGGCAACGAAGGAGTGGCTTCGTAAGAAGCATTTCAAGGTCCTGGAGTGGCCTAGCCAGTCTCCAGATCTCAACCCCATAGAAAACCTTTGGAGGGAGTTGAAAGTCCGTGTTGCCCAGCGACAGCCCCAAAACATCACTGCTCTAGAGGAGATCTGCATGGAGGATGGGCCAACATACCAGCAACAGTGTGTGCCAACCTTGTGAAGACTTACAGGAAACGTTTGACCTCTGTCATTGCCAACAAAGGATATATAACAAAGTATTGAGATGAACTTTTCATATTGACCAAATACTTATTTTCCACCATTATTTGCAAATAAATTCTTTCCAAATCAGCCAATGTGATTGTCTGGATTTGTTTTCTCATTTTGTCTCTCATAGTTGAGGTCTACCTATGATGCCAATTACAGGCCTCTCTCATCTTTTTAAGTGGGAGAACTTGCACAATTGGTGGCTGACTAAATACTTCTTTGCCCCACTGTACTCCCCAGCATGTTATCCTATGTGCCCATGCACACATAGGTTGTAATCAATGTTTTTTGGCTGGAGAAAAAAAAACCCAAAACTAGTGGGTTTCTAGAGTTTTTCAGCTATAAAAACACTCTAACGCTGTAAAATGCTGCAAAATGCGGTCAAACTCAGCAAACCGGCATTTTTGGATGTTTTTTGACCAAAAAAATAATATTTTTTTTGGGAAAAAAAAGAAACGCTAAAAAACTCCAACAGAGAAAAATGCTGGAAAATGCCGCTAAACGCAGCAAAACACCGCTGAACGCTAATGCAAAAACGCTAAAAAAAAGCTTAATGTGACTTTACACAGCTATCGTTACCAGCGTTAGCAAAACGTCCCATGTGCATGAGGGCTTAGACTTCCCCCTGTTTTGGTTAAAGCCTGGCAGGGCAGATTCATTTTGGCATTCATATGTCTTGAATGCACCAAAAGTGAGACCTCCCTGTAAATCTGAAAAATTTTCTTGCTCTTCTGGAAACTTTGCTTGTTTCACTCTGTTACATCCTTATCCTGTTAGATAATTTATCTCTGCAGCTGTCCCCAAAAACAGAAATATCTATTTTGGGTAGAAAAGTCCTTTAGGGCTTTGACACAGTCGCCACCTAGGGAGAGCACTGGTGCAAAATTAATTTATTCCTTTCAGTTTCTCAGCATCTTACAGCAGAACTAGTGAATGGGTATAAATATCTTTTATGTTATGTATCTGTCATCAATGGTACAGTAGCACTGTTTATAAGCTAAGATACTGTTTTAGAGGCTGAAGCCCATTCATTAGCCCTGTGGCATGAGACTACTGGACTGATGTGTGAAGTCCATTGATAAGTTATGGTTGTAGGTCCGGCCTTCTTTGTTTTCGGTCAGTGACACTTCCTGTCTCCACAGGGTCAGCGGTTTGTCCCCTTTCCTTGGAGATAACGATGCGGAAACCATGAACAATATATTGGTGGGTGACCCAGGATTTGAAGAAGAACCTTTTGAACAGGTTTCAGAAGAAGCTAAAGATTTTATATCCAATCTGCTGGTCAGAGAGAAGAGGTTAGAACCTTTCCACATTCATTTTTCACTTTCCATACATTTTCTATTGAAATATTTCCGAATACTGGTCATAACATGAGGAAACACGCAAAACTGACAATGTGCCGGTAGATCTTGGGATTGTAACCGCTGATAACATAAGTCCATTAATGAACATGACAAAAAGTCCATATATGTCCAGAGTAGTAAACTTGTAATGTAAAGGTGGTTTGCAGCTAACTGAAAAGGTTCTGGCACCTAACAAGACACTGATCTGGACAATTTACCAAATCCACAGAGGTAGGGGTGTCTGTATCACGTACCTGGTGATGGAGGCCAATGGAGAGAGGGCTTGCCTTGCGGCTAATTTCCAGACTCCCCTGAGAGTGGGACAGTGGGAGTCAGGCCCAAAGTTGCACAGGTCGCCTGTAGGAGTGCTGGTTGGTGGTCCATTCAGAAGTACAGCTGGTGCACGGAGATAGGTCTGCAGACAGGAGGCACCTGTGCGGGGTATGCAAGCCCTTCCGGGATTTGGATGTTTACTGGGTAGTCGGTTCAAGCCAAGGTCAGGTACCAGGTGGGAATCAGAGCGGACGTAGTCAGATGGGAAAGCCAAGGTCATTGACAGAGGAGAGAGAGAGAGAGTATCCGTAAGCCAAGCCGAGGTCAGATCAGGGGTAAATCATAGTAGACAGGTCCAGGAGCAAGCCGAGTCGGTAATAGGAAATCACAAGTCAGAATCACAGGAACCAGGAACAGGGCATGGGGAGCTAGAGACCATTCAGCAACCAAAGAACGTGATGAGCCTCCTTATAAGGGCCATCTGGCACCAGACTGAGGCTGATGTGTCCTTCTGTGGCCATGTAGAGTATTGGCAGAACTGCTAGATCTTCCAGAACTCCTGCCGTGGACAGGACCCCGACAGTCTGTTTCAAGATGGCGCAAGACAGGAAGTAAAAGGATCACCATGGCCAGGAGACAAAAGGAGTCATTAGAAAAGAGTAAGGAAGGAGAAAGATAGAAAGAGGGAAAGAAGGGGAAAAGTGAACATCGAGAACACCCAAACCAGGGCTGTGACATTTGGCTTCTTAGGATCCCTAAAGCTTGATGTGCTCCCAGGAAGAGGATTGTGTAGAACCAAGTTGAATATATATCACTTACACCCCCCCCCCATCCCAGCAGCTCAGGAGCCACAAGTCCACCAGTCATCTAATACAGCAATTCAAGGGCTCATTCACACAAGCAGGGAGGGGGCTGTAAAACCCCATGGTTGAGATGTGCTTTACCGCCCTACCCATTCGCTACCCACTGTAGCTGCAGAGACAGCAGTCGGAGGTGTACACATGCATTGGCTTCGATGCTCTGTTTTGCGTCCACAGCAGGAATTACAAGTGTACAATCCAGACACACACGTTCCTGCGTTAACAATGGCTGTGTGTACAAGTGGTCATCAGCTGGAACCGAACAGAATCAGCAAGGGAGAATTTCACCAGCACACCGAGGATCACCAATATGGAACCAGAAGTTTTAATGAACGATCACATAGTTACAGCAAGGCAACGTTTCAAAGTCTCACAGGACTTGACTTATACCCGATGTCACTGTCGATGGGTGCTATGCGACCCATGCAATGAATGGGCCGCTCTGAAGATGCCCTACAAACGCATGCAATTAAAGCGGGGGTGGTGGCGTGATACAATGCCCCCCTGTAAAGTGCTTTCTGAAGAGCGACCAGAACATGAGTTACTAGCGTGAACGAGCCCTAACAGTTACAAATTTTTATTATAACAGTCAAGCAGCATCTAAGGCTGATTTTCTGAGTTCTTCCACAATGTCATCCATGACTTTCTTCTCTGCTATTATTAGTGTCCATAACAATCTTTTTTTTTTGTCAGTGGGAGGATGAGTGCAGGTCAGTGCCTTAAACATCCGTGGCTGAATGACCTTGCGAGAAAAGCCAAGCTTTGTAACCGACTATTGAAGTCACAGATCGAACTGCGCAAGTACATGATGAGGAGACGCTGGAAGGTGAGAACTCCATCATGTTTTTAATAAAGATGTCATTGTCTTCGAAAGTCATCCAGTATCTCATGTGGTATGTTGTTTTTTGGGTTTTTTTTATTATCTTTGACGAAACAAGGACTAAAGAAACAAATATTGAAATGTAATTTATTTTTCAATAACAGCTTTTAAAAATAACCCTCTGCTCTCGGCCTGTTTTGATTGCTTCAATTTTTACACTGATTAACCTCTGGCCTCTGTATTTACAGTGATCCATCTTAATTAGTCCTGCCTCGGTACAAAACCATTTGAATCTATCACACAATGACATACATTCATTATAACCCACAGGACCTCAATACTTTTTCAATCTTGACCCAACCAACCTTCAACCTCTCTCCACCTGGACCTATCCATTACAAACCCTTTCACACCTGTCCATCTTGATTGATCCAAACTCTACCCCTCTCCCATTTGTGTCTATTCAACCTTCACACTGGGCCAGCTGGACATATCTATTACCAACCCAAACACCTGTCCATCCTGATTTATAAGAACTCCACCTCTTTTCCTTTTTTTATCTACCCAACCCCCTGCACCTGTCCATCTTGATCAAACCTCACCACTCACCATGGTCTTTATTTATCCAAAGCTCTGGGTCTCCTCAGGCCTTATTTATTCAGTCCTCACACCTGTCCAACTTGACTCGTTCAGTCACCAACCCTAGTTTTCCTAACCTGAAGGATCTCCATACCTTCCTTTCAAAGAATATATACAGTACAGCTTTGGTGGAATTACAAAAACTTTTTTCAATCTTTTAAAACCTAACCTTTAGCATTGTTCCAGCACACCCTGCTGTGGGGTGACAACCCTCTGACCCTGTCTTGCCTTGCGTTGTCCTCCTGCTACATGTGCTTCCCATGGAGACTATAAGTAGCCATGTTGATGCTCACTGGGTAAGCAGGGTCCACAGTTTTTACTGTCCAGAAGTTTGACCTGAGAAATGATTCACACTGAATGTTTGTTGACCCCCGGTTCACACCTATGCGGCCGTGCGGGCCACGTTTTGCACGGGCACCCATTCATTTGAATGGACTCCCGTGCCCCGTGACACGCAGGGAAGAAGTCCCTGCACTTCTTTGGAAAACGCAGCTGAGGTTCCCAGTACGGTTGTGATTTCCAGTGCGGGCGGCATGCCATTAGAACTAATGGCACCCGCCCGCGGGTCCGCATGTTTCTGTGTGGGTGGTGCGGCTGCACGGATTTTCATACGGATCCGCAGCGGCACCACCCGCACAGATGTGAACCTAGTGTAATGGCAGGCCATACGTAGCAGCTCTGTTACCTAGGACTTTTGGGTGTTCTTGCCCACCTTTTTCTATACAGGTCTTCCTGTTTTAATCATCATATAAACTAACTTAAAACTTTTTATCTTGTTTTTGTAAAACCTACAAAACTTGTTAATAAAAACTATTTGATAAAAAAAAAAAATCCAACAAGGATGGTGGGAACCCCTCATTATGGGCACAGCAGGTGTACAGACCCGGGAACTCAGCACAGGGATGGTGGGAACCCCTCATAATAGGAAGAGCAGTTGTACAGAGCCAGAAACTCAGTGCAGGGATCTCAAAATTAGAGTATCTAAGCTACAGAAAAGACTGTCAAGGGATTCACGTCTCCAAGCTATAAAATATAATTATTGGGCAGACTAATTTGTCCACTGCATTCACCAGTCTTCTGCTACCCAGCCAAGCCTTAGTGATATGAAATAATTGCCATTATATATATATAATAATATTAATAACACTCATTTGTGTATTTATATATTCCTCTCAGCCTCCCCATTATACGGCTTTCAATGTTCTAGCAGTCACTCCCTTCTTCATTCTTCATCCCAGACCCCACAGCATCATCACATCACTTCCAGGTTTGACCAAACAACTGACGATCCTCTTTTGTGTCCCCAACAGAAAAACATCTTTGCGGTGACCGCAGCAAACAGGTTTCTGAAGACCGGGAGCTCAGGCTGTCTCACTTGATTAACAAAATAAAAACCAACCTGGGAGATTTTGATATCTTTTTTTTTTTTTTTATGGCCACAATGACCCATCTTTTATCTTGTTGAACTTGCGGTATTTTGGACTTGCCTCAAAAAGTTTTGCTGTTTCAGAATTCTGAAATATTATTACAATTGTACCTAAAAAACAAAAAATAATCCCTCTGAAATCCTACTGCCTTTCCCTTTGTTGGTTACAACATGCCTTAAACATTTTCAAGGTTCACACCACTGGCCCTGTTTGAGCACCATGACACAACAAATGGACTTTCAGGTCTCAGTCGTACTAGAGGTATTAGCAAGTGAATGTGCTTTCATAATTCTGAAGACATCTGGTGAATTCAAGCCGATTAGCCCAGTCTGTATTTGGGGACTCATGAAAGGGACTCTGCAGAAAAAGCTATAACCCTCAAAGGGTTTTATCACCTACTGTGTCTTCTCTAGCTAGGTTGTCTCTTGACAGAGATGCATGTTACACAGGTTTCATGATGGCTCCCACTACATAAAGCCTGCTTAGATACTGTTTTGTATTTGCTAATCCCAGTTGCTGGTCAGCTGCGATAGCCAACTCAAAAAACAGTGAAGAGAATAGGAGTTAAGCCCACCGCGGCACTCTTGTCAAGAGACAACTTGTATGTGTTTTCAGATGACTTGGAAGTAACAGAGATCTGCAGCTCGGTGGAGAACCCTGCTGAACAAGCCATAATCCAACTTTTGTAACGTTTTGCTTGGTTACATTGCAGTTTTACAAAATATCTTTTATTTGTTTTTATCTTTCTATGTTTTTTTTTACTTCTACTTTGTCCCATCTGCCATCATTTTCTAGAAGCACTCTCTAGTGGGCCATCTATGGGACTTGCTTAGTTGGTGGGTCTTCAAGTCTTTGGTTGTGGCTGTGTGGGACAAGGTATCTGCTCCTCGGTGGAGATGTTGTTTAGGATCCTTTTAGAAGGATTACAGGGAATGCTTTTAAGATTAGTAAAGTTAACCCCTTCACACCGGTGCTTCCCGGCCCTTTAAGGGTTTCAGAAGTCAGAAGGCGGGGCAGGGTTTAGGGTCATGTGACCGCCTTGACACGCCATCACGGTGGTCACATGATTGGGAAAGGTCCCGATCGCAAGAGGAGATCGGGATCTTTCCGTGAGTACCGGACATGTGTGTTGGGAGCGCGCAGGGCGGGCGCTCTCAGCACATATGTTCTTTTTTAATAGAGCACAAATGTGCGGCCGCTCGGCATCTAGGCCCAGACGCTGGGAGGCCGCACATTTGCGTTCGGCCGGCGTGAAGAGGTTAAAGCAGTATTAAACTCCAAAAGCAAACATTTATTATATCGCAGCTTACCAATATTTAGATGTTATGGTGATATGTTTCTTTTTTTGAGCTTTCTGTCTTCTACCTCCATCTGGTGATTCAGGCACAGCCGCTGTTTTTTCAGGAGCTCAAGCTCTCCAGCAGAATGTATCAGTTTACATGGATGAGAAGATCCATTTACCACAAAGGGTGATTAACCCCTTGGCGCCGGTGCCTCCCGGCCCTTTAAGGGTTTCAGAAGCCGGGGGTGGGCGGGGTTTTAGAGTCATGTGACTGCCGTGATTCGCTGTCACAGCGGTCACATGATCGGGAAAGGTCCCAATCGCAAGAGGAGATTGGGACCTTTCCATGAGTACCGGACATGTGTGCTGGGAGCGCGCTCTCAGCACATATGTTTTTCTTAATAGCATGCAAATGTGCGGCCGCTCAGCGTCAAGGCCCAGACACTGAGAGGCCGCACATTTGCATGCAGCCGGCGCCAAGAAGTTAAAATAATCAGCCTTTCTAAAAAACTTTATCACCCCCCAAAAAACCTGTTTGCTGTAACTGATTAGAAAGTGTGAGCTGGAGTTTGGCTTCAAATTAGTATTGTATTAAAATCTGCTGGTTCATTTACCCCCCTCCCCCCCCCCCCCCCCAGATTGACAGTCCTGCTGTCTTCTGTTTCCTGGCTCATTTCTCCAGAGTGGTGTCTCACTAATGCAGGAGTTGTATTACTTGCCAGATCACTAGGTTAAAACGGAGGGGGAAAAGCCACAGAAAAGAAAGCTAATGCAGCCGCTACATCTGACGACTGGTAAGCTGTAATACAATACATGTTTGGTTTTGGGTTTAATCACAACATGTGAGCCAAGCCCAACCCTGTTTACAATATAGCCTAATTAATTTGTTTGTTTTGTGGGTATACTGGGGAAAGGTTAAAATCCTGCTTGTTTTTTTTTTTCATATTGGGTCCTATTGGGAAACATTTTTTTCACTTCCTGTGCTAGAAACAGGAAATGAATGAAAATCTCTCCAATGTGAACACATTTGTCACAGGAACAGATGTCCCTGTTGGAAGATTTATTCTTACCTCTTGGTATGCTCTGGGCAATATTTTGGGATCCCGTCATATTTTGTTTTTGGAGACAAAGGTCACAAGACTGTATATAGTCATGGCCGAAATTTGTTGTGCGGAAAATCAAGTATTTCACACACAAAAAAGGTATTGCATTAACACATGTTTTGCTATACACGTGCCCTTTGTATGTATTGGAACAAATATAAAACAGAGGCAGAAAAGCAAATATGACATAATTCACACAAAACCCCAAAAATGGGCTGGACAAAAGTATTGGCACCCTTAACTTAATATATTTGTTGCACACCCTTTGGAAAACATAACTGAAATCAGCCGCTTCCTAATCAATAAGTGCGGAATTTTTGGACCACTCTTTTTGGAAAACGCTCCAGGTCTCTCTTATTGGAAGGAACAACAACCTTTTCCCAACAGCAATTTTAAGATCTCTCCGTGTTCAATTTAATCTGGGCTCATTGCTGCCACTTCAGAACTCTCCAGCTTCTTTGCCATCCATTTCTGAGTGGGCGGACGTATGTTTGGGGTCATTGTCCTGCTGGAAGACCCAGGATTTTTGGGACGCAAACCCAGCCTGACACGGGTCCCTACAGTGCGACCCAAAATCCTTTGGTTCCTCAGATTTCTGATGCCTTGCACACAGTCAAGGCACCCCAGTGCCAGAGGCAGCAAAACAACCCCAAAACATCATTGAACCTCCACCATATTTTACCGTAGGTACTGTGTTTTGTTCTTTGTAGGCCTCATTCCGTTTTGGTAAACAGGAATGATGTGCTTTACCGGAAAAAGCTCGTGGCTGTCCACAAGACGTTTTTCCCATGGCTTACCCAAGTACATTTTGGCAAACTGAGTCTTGTGAACCTCCTGGGTCTCCTGCCATAGACGTTTCATTTCATTTAAATGTCGACATTCTGACACTTGATGCTCCCTGAGCCTGCAGGACAGCTTTCTTTAACATGTTTTGAATCCGGACTATTCTGCTGCAAATACAATTTTCCTCATCCGTCCACGACCAGGGAGATTAGAGTGCCTTAAAAAATGTTGCGCACTGTGGACAAAGGCAAATTAGTTCTCTATGGGGGTGTAACCTTGAGATTGTTGATATTTTGCCACAATTTTGGTTCTCAGGTCCTCAGACAGTTCTCGTCTCCTCTTTCTGTTGTGCATGCTTAGTGTGGCACAGACAGACACACAATGCAAAGGTTGTGAAACGTCTCTCCTTTCGACTATATTGCCCACACCTGTTACTTGCCCCAGGTGAGTTTACAGGAGCATCACAATGAAAGGGTGCCAATACTCCAGCCCATTTTTGGGGATAGTCCCAATACACACAAAGGGAATAAACATGTGTATAGCATGTGTTAAGCAATACGTTTCGTGAGAAATACATGATTTCCTGGAGAAATATCAAGGGTGCCAACAATTTCGGCCATGACTGTATCCATGCTGGCCGTGTTTTGCCATTAGAGCCCATTAATTTGAATGGACTCCCGTGCCCGTGACACACAGGGAAGAAGTGCGGCCACACTTTTTTGGAAAACGCAGCCAAGGTTCCCAGTACGGTTGCGTTTAACAGTGCGGGCGGCGTGTCATTAATGCTCCATATTCTCTGTGCGGGTGGTGCATGGATTTTCGTGGGGATCCGCAGCGGCATCACCCACACAGATGTGAACCTAGGGTTAGACTGCATTCACACTTGAGCAATTTGTAACTTGAAGCTCCAAATACAATCAGACTTAAAAAAATTAAATTTTCTCTATGGTGCCTGTTCTCACCATCGTTTTTGGGGCTTCAAATTGCTCAAGCGTGACTTTCCCGACATAAAGAGAGGATGAATCTCTCCAGTGGGGATAGAAGCAGCAATAAAAACCTGAAAGGGGTTTTATCCCTGCCCCATGCACACACACAGATTTTATTACTCCAAACAGAACCAGCCAAATTTTATCATTGCTATAGGTGATAAGTTTGTTGTATCAAAATCCGTTTTGGTTTTAAATTTTGTCATACTGAATTTTGCACTAACTGACTTTGTAAATGAGTACTGACTAGTACATTTTTATAATGTTTTTTTTTTTTCTTTGACTGATCAAGAATGTTAGCGGATGATTTCATGACTAATATGTGATTAAATCATCATTATAGATTTTGAATGGATTGCAAGATTGTATATGAAACGCACATTGTGAGTAGCATCCGAAATATGAGCTGTTTTGCCAAATGCCAGTTCACTGCCAATAATTTATTACTGTAAAACATGATGTACAGAGTTTACAAAATAAATGGACATTCATGTATAGGACATCCGGGTCTGCTTTTTTTTTTTTTTTATGCATACATTTTTTTTTACTGTTTAAGACACTTATATTTTAAAGACTTGTGAAAGTTGTTCTCCCCAAAAAAATGCAGGCAGAGTACAAAGGAATAGTCAATAGTATTACTTCTGATCTCCCCAGAGGCGTCCCTAGGGTGGTGTCACCCGGTGCGGTAACACTTGGTGACACCCCCTCCGACAATCCCCGCAAAATGGATCGGATCTGCGGATTGAGCATAATGGATCAGACTCCATTATGCTCCCCAATCCGCAGATCCGATGCATC